AATAGGAAAGTTACAATATCCTTTGTCAATCATGGCATTTATCAATTAATCTCGTTGAGGATTACAAGGCATACCTTACAATCATTATCGCGGCAGCGAAACTGCGTGGATATCATTGTATCTGTGTCAGACATTATACCACGTACAAGCATCTTCTGACTCCATAACAAATGCTATACGAGAGATGTTTATCTGGTCAATTGTAGATCCGTCTTCAGAGCAAGTTGAAATTAAATTAAAATTGAATTCAATAATAAAATGAAATGTACACATATTCAAAGATTCCTAGACGCAGATAATTGAATTAATTTAAAATTCTAAACAAGGATTAAAACATTTCTCATAACATATTTCTGGCCAACCATCTATGCAACTCTTGTTTTACATTCGTTAAAATCTCACTTATCACTCATCTCGCATGGCGGTGCTCGTTATTTTGCCTGTTTGTTCCGTTGTTACCTTGTTCGCATTTGAGAACATGACATTACTTGCTTGAATTGACCAAGTTTAACATGGAGTCTGTCGCCGATGAAGCAGAAGACGCTTACTCTTCCGGAACATCTGGTCTTATTCTCCTTGTACTTATTCCATAAGTCTCTGGGTAAATCTTTCCTTTGTTCATATTTTGCTCTCGTTTTATTGAATTCGAAATTGGATTATGATTATGCTAACAAGTTGGTATTGTTTTGTTGCTTTTCTACAACAACTAGTTCTTTTTTTTCTGACATTCTATACTCAAGAATAAGCACTCTTCTTATTCCAATTGTTGCAAATATTTTCTGGGCGCATTATAATGTTGATTGCGTCACATAGGTAATAGTCACCTGACAAATTATTAAGGATTTATAAACAAAAACAACATTTTTTTCTTCATAGCATTTTCCTGACAAACTCAATCACTAATGTGACTGTGGATATTCAGCTTGTCTGATTTCCACACACGCATTCTTTCTTAGACTGTATCCGATCAAACAATTTTTAACCGGTCGTCTTTTACGCAATGTGTGTGGTGACATGCTTTAAAAATTGTCATACTCCTTTTTTTATTGTGGTGTTTGTATGATTTTCAATGCATTGTCTAGATTTACATTTGACTTGATAGTGAGATCGATTCCAATTTCGTCGAGGGAGCTGAAATCACTCACTCAGTGGGCTACATTCAAGTAGAATTACCCATTAGAATATACTACCCAATATCTATGTGTAAAATATCTAAATCTGAACATAAGGCATCCGTACAATGCCTTCCGATCGAATATTCACACTTCCGAAGCACTGGATTCCAAATTGTGCTTAATTCATTGAAATCAAATAATGGGGAACGGTATTCCACGTCAATGTGTGGAGAAAGCTGAATGAAATGTAGTCACAGAAACAAAACATCAGGACACAACTACAAATTTGGTAATATTGGCCAGCATCTCTAGTATAAACTTCACTGTTGGCACTAGGCTGTGTATTCGTGTTTTCCCTTGAATATAGTTTAGAGAAACTTTATCCCCATTACAACGCTTCTATCGTAGAAATATCTATAACGTGTCCAATCTGTATACAATAAAATCCGATTACACAGCGATTGTGTTATAAATACTTTAAATGCATCTGTTACAAAGAATGCAATGTTTCTGTGTTATCTGTGTGTGTTCCCTTGTGGAAAACCATTGTGTAGTTGTTAACAGAGTAGTAAGACATTACCTCACCTCGAACAAAGTCACATCGGTACCAATGGAGATCTGTGAAGCCATAAACTCTCGCATTTCTAAAGGCATAAAACGCTGCTTGTACTCAATAACAGTGCCTATCGGCTAAACAATGCGAAAGATTCGTCTAATATATTTTTTCCAAACGGCATAATTGGGCGAATTTTGAGGAAGCAAGCAAAGTTCGAATGCTTTGAACCTCCTATTTGGCTGTACACAGCAGATCTACAGCGTACAATGGGCAATTAAACCATGCAACGATTCCTGGCGGCCGTTAATATATACAAAACAATCAATACTCTATTGACAGGTGGGCCGATCTACTGGGACTGTGGTTTAACGGAACAAGACCACATATCCTGGGCCAAATAACACCTGGAACAGGTTAATTGAAACGCTACGTTACTTCTGAATTTTGTCGATTTAATCGCTTGAAATACCTGGAACGTTACATTTTTTTTCTCTTTGAAATTCCTCTTTCCTTACCACCATGATGGATATTTCGAAGTTGAGAAACAGATGTTCTTGATATTGATCAGTTTTGGTGATAAAATGTTCAGTTTCGTTTTAGAAATGAACTGTTTTTAATTCCATGCATGTTCGCAACATGCCAAGGCATCATTTCATAGAATTAAAATGCACATTATACAGAAAGGTTTTTTTCAAAAAGCTGTGAGCTCACACCATTATAAATACATTTGGACCTGATGGCGAAATATCGCAGACTGACTCAATTCTAGAGCAATTTGGAAATGCGATTGGAGAAATCTGACACCGCAATGGGTTAATTTATTTCAACCAGAAAATAATTAATTGAATACTGAGGTGAAACATGACATGTCAAACGTTTTCAGTGTTATTCAAAATTTAACGACTAATGACGTCATTGAAGAGAAATGATTTCATTATGGTTGTTTGACAAATTTGATTTCCGAAGGCTAAAACAATCTTTCTAAATCTAGATTTGTTTCCGTATTCTCACAAGGCAAAGTAACTTACATTTCAAGATATTACATCGCCCAAGCTACAAACTGTGCTATATAAGAACAAATCAGCATATATTTTTCGTATACGGAAACGTCATAATAATAGTATGAACTAATAACAGAATTATTTTGCTTATTGTCAGTAAGTAAAATAAGCAAAAAATATTGCGCCTTAAGACATATTAAAGGACATTTGAAAATTTGTCACTAATATCGTTACTTTAATTGTGATAACGTGAAGGCTACAATAAAGGTAATCCATTTTCATACTCCCTACAGTTTTAGATTGTTTGTATTTGTGATAATGTTTTCAATCCCAGCTGTTACATATATCAATCTGTGTTATATATATTTGAATCCCATGCATTTAAAAAAGCTCTCTTAAATCTTATCAAAGCAATGAACTACATGGAACAATCAAAACACCATCATTTCTTCTATAATTGGATAGGAAAACAATTAACAATTCCTTGTGCAACTGTCATTTGTTTCCAGGTATGATAAAGACTTGCTTGCGTAACTGTCATTTGTTTCCAGGTATGATAAAGACTTGCTTATGTAACTGTCATTTGTTTTCAGGTGTGATAAAGACTTCCTTGTGTGACTGTCATTTGTTTTCAGGTAGAATAAAGACTTGCTTGTGTGACTGTCATTTGTTTTCAGGTATGATAAAGACTTGCTTATGTAACTGTCATTTGTTTTCAGGTGTGATAAAGACTTCCTTGTGCGACTGTCATTTGTTTACATGTATAATAAAGACTTGCTTGTATAACTGTCATTTGTTTCCAGGTATGATAAAGACTTGCTTGTATAACTGTAATTTGTTTCCAGGTATGATAAAGGCTTGCTTGTGTAACTGTCATTTGTTTTCAGGTGTGATAAAGACCATTTGTTTACATGTATGATAAAGGTCATTTGTTTTCTTGTGTAACTGTCATTTGTTTTCAGGTATGATAAAAGTGTACTTGTTTGATGTGTGATAAAGACTTGCATGTGTAACTGTCATTTGTTTTCATGTATAATAAAGGCTTGCTTGTGTAACTGTCATTTGTTTTCATGTATAATAAAAGCTTGCTTGTGTAACTGTCATTTGTTTTCATGTGTGATAAAGGCTTGCTTGTGTAACTGTCATTTGTTTTCATGTATAATAAAGGCTTGCTTGTGTAACTGTCATTTGTTTTCATGTATAATAAAGACTTGCTTGTTCAACTGTCATTTGTTTTCATGTGTGATAAAGACTTGCTTGTGTAACTGTCATTTGTTTTCATGTATGATAAAGACTTGCTTGTGTAACTGTCATTTGTTTTCATGTGTGATAAAGACTTGCTTGCGTAACTGTCATTTGTTTTCAGATATAATACAAACTTGTTTTTGTAACTGTCATTTTTTCAGGTGTGATAAAGACTTGCTTATGTAACTGTCATTTGCTTTCAGGTATGATAAAGACTTGCTTATGTAGCTGGGATTTGTTTCTAGGTATGATAAAGTTTGATTAAACAAATTTATCTTTATAAGTAACATACAACTTATTAATTTTTAACCTTTGTCTTCCACTACAATCCATGATTACGGAGAATTGGCATATCTCATGATTCATGTAAGTTAATAATGCCGAACTAACAATAACGATTGGCTTATCAAACGGAACAGGATCACGTGGGATTCTACTACACAGTTCAATAACAGATAAGAAGTTTTATGTTTCATATCATCAGCATTTGAAGACGTATCTTTTACAGGGCCGCCATGGAAATTCATCTCTACGTGCAATATCTGCTTAACACGAAATGTCAAACGAAAAGTTATCGGTATGATTTTATCAAATGAAGCTAAGCACATACACAACAATGCATTAGTGAAAATATAGTGAATGTCGTGCGCATTGCAGGTGCATGCAATCTTTCTCAGACAATCTATTTTATGGTATAAATTGGAAGACAACGTTTTATCATAAGAAGGTTCATCGCATTTTACCCAAACTGAGTGTGATCCCGATACGTTGAGTACAAGGTAATGACATTTGAATTGATGTGATATACAGTTTTGTACATTTTCAAAATCAAATATAAATAATAGAATTGATATATATATAATTATTTAAATTTGCGACGATTAGAACTGTTTTTGAATTGAATAAAATGGATATTTAGTCTTTAATTATGCATACTAAGATATAATTGCACTCTCTAACATGACAACTGTTTTTTTCTATCACTTCAAGAACGCATTAATAGATGGGAACGTTATAAAACTATGTCAAATTAAAAAACGTGAAAAATAATTTCATATATGAAAATATAGAAATATTACTCACTACTTCCGGTGTCGGTGGGCCCTATATACTCTGACGTCATAAACTGGTCAGTAAGGGCCGTCTTCCCGACCCCATCTGACCCCAAGACAACCACCTGGTAATACTTTGGGATATCATCACTACAAGTCGACGTGGATATCTTTGGGGTCGATCTGTTACTATGGTTGTCAAGATTTTGGAGTTCCGGGTTTTCATCACGTATAGTAACTCCCGAAGCTAAAACATCCTTGGAAGATTTCTTTTTATAACTATCACCACGATTAACTACTCCTCTGGAGGTAGTTTTAAAGGACCTGACCCTCCTCAAACTTTGAGGTTGTTCATTCTCTGTATTGTCAAATAAGTCATTGAAGGACGACGAAAGGATTTGATGTCGCGCTCGGGAAGGCATGCTGTTCCTTCGCGGACGTTCACAGTAGTCCGAATCTTCAATGTCGCGAGTCCGGGAACGACTTTTAAATGATCTCGCACGGGTGTGATGGATACCTACAGCTGAATCAGGCGAGAGGAACCGTGAAGACGGCGAATCATTCATTCTGATAATTAAACCTCTTATTTTGTTCAACACAATTTCCGAACTCACAAACACGATAACAACTAATCCCTCATCATTACGTTAGTGGCCTCTGTAGATTAACGCTGGGCTTAATAGCGACGAATGCAATATCTATATCACGCTTCGGTAGTTAGAGATGTTCCAGTGAAGGCTCCTTCTGTCGACCTGGTCGTGTCACCATTATGACATGGCCTATCCCACTCACAGGCCTAACTACTGAAAGTCTCCCCACCGTCACACTCTGCCCGTTTTCTGCTGTTGGGGATTCGATCGCTTCTGTGCGAACGGAAAAGAAAAGTCACGTGACAAAAACTATCGATAATTGGTTTCATATCATATATGTAGTAACCCTCCCTACTACAACCTTTGAAGTAAACGAAAAAATTAAATCGCGTGTACCTTTGTAAACGAGAACTGTTATAAACAGATTTTCTCTGTGGTCTGACGTTCGATTTGAGCGTAAAGAGTATATATGCGTGTAACAGACTGCAGCGAGGAATGATGCTGGACCACGTGTGTTCGATCTCTGGGGCCATTTACAAGTATGTTTATCATAAGCGGCAAATACACACGCTGCTGATGTCGGCTGCTTAGTAATCTAAATCACGGGCGATCTCACCTGTGTGTTTACCTTGTCTTCATTAACACTGCCTGCAAATCTTTTTTTCTTTTTGCAAAACCGCAGCATATGTTACACCAGGTATCATCTAGAGAGCATTTATATTATATTCTGTGTGTTTCAGTAAATTATTTCATTACGGTCACGAACCTCTCGGTTTTGTCAGAGCAGAAATAACTCGACTATCGATTCATGAAAGGTACATTAATATTTTAGATGCTAACACACATTAACCTTCAGGGATATGCATGACCGTGTAATAGAAGTGATGAAATATGAGCGGGAAAGGGGACAAGACAATCACGCGATATACCTTTAGGAATATGATGTACAGGTGTATTGTATACCGAGTATTAATTAGCAATGTGGGAAGGGTACAATAAAGTGTGGAAGAGTAATTAAATAGTCAATGGTACAGAACAAGGGGAGGTAACTCGGTAGTCAATGGACAAATGTTTCGGGGCACCAACTACTGGTGACTGGTGTTAGAGACCAGGGGAGGTAGCTCGGCAGTCTATGGACAAATGTTTCGGGGTACCAACTACTGGTGACTGGTGTTACAGAACAGGGGAGGTAACTCGGCAGTCAATGGATAAATGTTTCGGGGTACCAACTACTGGTGACTGGTGTAAGAGACCAGGGGAGGTAACTCGGTAGTCAATGAATAAATGTTTCGGGGTACCAACTACTGGTGACTTGTAAGAGACCAGGGGAGGTAACTAGGCAGTCTATGGACAAATGTTTCGGGGTACCAACTACTGTTGACTGGTATTAGAGACCAGGGGAGGTAACTAGGCAGTCAAGGAACGAATGTTTCGGGGTACCAACTACTGGTGACTGGTGTAAGAGACCAGGGGAGGTAACTCGGTAGTCAATGAACAAATGTTTAGGGGTACCAACTACTAGTGACTGGTGTAAGAGACCAGGGGAGGGAACTCGGCAGCTAATGGACAAATGTTTCGGGGTACCAACTACTGGTGACTGTTGTAAGAGACCAAGGGAGGTAACTAGGCAGTCTATGGACAAATGTTTTGGGGTACCAACTACTGTTGACTGGTATTAGAAACCAGGGGAGATAACTAGGCAGTCAAGGAACGAATGTTTCGGGGTACCAACTACTGGTGACTGGTGTTAGAGACCAGGGTCACATTATGGTTTGAAAAAAAGACATATGTCATATATAGTACAGATAAATTATACCATGAGGTCGCATATTTGCATCTTTTCGGGAAAATTGGTGTTCTAGGATCAAAGATAATATCCAAGCACAAAAGTATTGATTATAGAGATGGATAGATTGATTTTCAATCTGGGTTCACAAACCGGAAAATGACCTGTTTCTGCACTTGGCAATGCGTCACTGCTCAATCATGGTGTCTTATAAGGGAGAATGAGTTTCTTCACAATGTTGTCAATATCTACAAAGCTGTAAAGTATATATCCACAGACAAATCACCAACAGAATACTTATTCCGTAATTTTTGTTTCACAAGGATGTATTGGTAATTAAGTCCTTTAGCTTGTCCTCCTTCCTCCGATTGAGGTCATAATTGCTCTGATGCTTTTCAGGTCTTCGGAACTTTGAACGATCTTGAAAATTACACCGTCAATTTGGGTTTTCTTATCGGTTTAAATCTTAAATTCAAATCGCTATGGATTTTTAATCTTCAATTTTAAGGGGATATATCCAAAGACCGAAACGGTAATAGATATTCCATATACAATGGTTTCTGTTCACTTTACAAGTGAAAGGGACCATGTTATAAGCAGTCCTAATGTTACTTCGAGGGTTTAATAACACACAGGGACCTGTAACTATATATCTTGGGAATGAGAGTTTGTATGGTATACTTAATCTAGTAAATTGGGCCAACGAAAGAAATTCAGCGGCCTCACAAAAGTCGTCGGCATTCGGCAAAATACAGTTCAAGTTTTACATCTTGTATACCAAAATGTTCACAAATTGCTAAGCATCCAGGAAAACATCTCTTGGAATACAACAGACTAAATTTACATACCTTTCGCTCACTGAGAATGCGAAACAAGACCGGTGATTTCCCTATGTAGCTATGTCTGTTCGCTGAAGTTCATGTCAGACAAAGCTGATATCCAGTGAAACGCCTTATATTAACTCCAAATCGTCAGTCAGGTTTCAGGTTCAAAAATAATCACAGAAAATAGACACCGTTTCACTGAATTCAAATAAAACCAGCTGCCATAGTTGATGGTATTACCAAAATAGGCACAGGGAGATATCACTTTCGAGGACACAATAAATATAATCGACAATTGAAACACTAAATGGTGAATATATCATGTTACAATTTAAACAATGAATAGCAATATTACAACAGCAATATTATAACTAAAACGCTAAATATTACACCTGCAATATTACAACTGAAACGCTAAATATTACACCTGCAATATTACAACTAAAACGCTAAATAGCACACCTGTAATATTACAACTAAAACGCTAAATAGCACACCTGTAATATTATAACTAAAACGCTAAATAGCACACCTGTAATATTACAACTGAAATGCTAAATAGCACACCTATAATATTACAACTAAAACACCTGCAATATTACAACTAAAACGCTAAATAGCACACCTGTAATATTACAACTAAAACGCTAAATAGCACACCTGTAATATTACAATTGAAATGCTAAATAGCACACCTGTAATATTACAACTGAAACGCTAAATAGCACACCTGTAATATTACAACTAAAACGCTAAATAACACACCTGTAATATTTCAACTTAAACGTTAAAGAGCACACCTGTAATATTATAACTAAAACGCTAAATAGCACACATGTAATATTACAACAGAAACGCTAAATATTACACCTGCAATATTACAACTAAAACGCTAAATAGCACACCTGTAATATTACAACTAAAACGCTAAATAGCACACCTGTAATATTACAACTTAAACGTTAAAGAGCACACCTGTAATATTATAACTAAAACGCTAAATAGCACACATGTAATATTACAACTAAAACGCTAAATAGCACACCTGTAACATTACAAATAAAACGCTAAATAGCACACCTGTAATATTACAACTCCTGTAATATTACAACTAAAACGCTAAATAGCACACCTGTAATATTACAACTAAAACGCTAAATAGCACACCTGTAATATTACAACTAAAACGCTAAATAGCACACCTGTATTATTACAACTTAAACGTTAAAGAGCACACCTGTAATATTATAACTAAAACGCTAAATAGCACACATGTAATATTACAACTAAAACGCTAAATAGCACACCTGTAACATTACAAATAAAACGCTAAATAGCACACCTGTAAATTACATCTAAAACGCTAAATACCACTCCTGTAATATTACAACTAAAACGCTAAATAGCATACCTGTAATATTACAACTAAAACGCTAAATAGCACACCTGTAATATTACAACTGAAATGCTAAATAGCACACCTGTAATATTACAACTGAAACGCTAAATAGCACACCTGTAATGATATATTGAAGCTGATTTTACTAATTTGAAACGACGATAAAAGGGAATATTTCTATATAAATACATATTTAAAATAGAATACAAAAATATGTTCGTGAATCCCCAGGATAGATCTATTGAGAATGTACATTTTGTATGTGCTGGTACAGCTCTGAGATACCAGCGCAACATAAATGAAAGCTATAGAATTTCTTTATGGTGAATTTGTTTTCTTCAAATTTAAATATGTACACACTACTTTAGTTTCGCTCACGTACTGTCTGAATTTGACAGAAGATTTAATTATATGTCTGCATCCTTGTAATAATAAAAAAAACAGCTTCTATGTCGTGTCCATATTAATTTGAAACTGGTCGTATTTCCTGACTGAAGACGGCACCACGTCAGGTAACCGTTGAGTTAGCTGATATCTGTAATAGCACTTAACGAGGAGGCATCGACCACACTCTGACGTCATAAATACGTCCGAGTATTCCTTAATGCTGATGAACCAAAAACACCCACATTGCCAATTTTTTTCTTATTTGAAAAGAAATGATCGGCTTGAGAGATAGAATTGTGGGATTTTTTTTAAAAAGGTGATTTATAAAATTGAGAAATCTCCCAGATAGATTTGCAATGCGTGATATCTCCGCAACTGTCTGATAAACACTAATGAAATGTCTCTCTCACTTATCAGCGAAATACTTTCATCTGCTGTAATGGTAGTTTGTATGGTTAAATTTTTCGAGGTTTTGCCAAACCTTTTAGCTAAAAGGATAATATTTCCTGAAGTCATGAGATTTTCTCAGCTAATTCCATCTTAAAGTCACCATTTTCGTGATTTCACTTCAATCTAAAAA